TCAGTTGCTTCTCTTCCACGTCCTACTTCACTGACCTGAAGCCCCTCTCTGTCCAACTCCATACTTTCTCTACCAATGACCCCACTTCCAGCTTGATGCTCCCTACACCCTATTTATTGTTTGCCACCCAAGATTATGAATGGTCCTCCCCTTCTTCTTGCCAAGAATGGACTCAGACTACTGTATCTCCGCATAACGCTTTAAATGCTCCACAGTGTTTGAAAAGAAGGAAAGCACATCAATTCCAGAATCAGTTTGAAACCACATGACAGCAGCCACCATGCCTCTCCAAACAGACTCTGTGCATCACAATGGTTTGTCCACCCTTTCACCCACCAGGGACTGAGATGGTTACCTTTCCTGAAGAATCTCTCTCCTCGTCATGTTTTCATCCATTCACTCCTCCTGATTTCCCTGTGTAGCATTTCCTCCAAACTCTCTCATGATCCCTGTTCTCTCTCAAGCCTGTCCTTTTCTTCAGCCAAATCTCTGCCTCCATTCCTCAGCAGGGGTATTCACGGACTTACACGTGCCATGTACCCAGTAGATCATCTGGTGTCCTTGAGCATCACCAACTACTCTGTCTTCATCCAGGGTACTTGTACATCTAGATGCATTCATAATCGACACTACATATTCCCACTTCTTAAAGCCTCATCCACAGAAATTATTCTTCATTATAGTTCAACAAATATGTAGAGGACTATCACCCAGCAAAATTGAAAATTAAAAAAAAAAAAAAACCTAGTTCACAGTGTATTGCTTCTAATGATGTGTAGTGCAGTACTGAGCATATGTTCACTTAAGTGAGGTCACTATACTATGGATTTACAAAGATACCCTTACTGGTTTCCTGTAAATGATAACTTGCAGAACAGGATGATATGATTTAACCTCATGGCAAAAAATTGGCATACATATGGACAAATATATATTCACCTATGAGTGGCAGAAAAAGCCTGAATACATATCCATAAAAACGGTTTCTGTCCTGGAAAGAATCGGAAGGGCAAAAACTTTGAATTGTTGTTTACATTCCATGATATACTTTGGATTTATGGCTTCCTGTCATAGCATACTTCCATTTTACATAATAACCTACAGTCAGGTGGAACATACTTCCATCCTGAAGGCCCAGGATGGGGAGCCTGAGACCTAGTGTGGCTCAAAAGACTTGGGCATGGGAATGAAAAACTCAATTATTTCATCTGTAATTTGAGGTTCACTGATTCACTAGTAGTGTAAATCATATTCTAATGTCTAAAGAAACCCAATGAAAAGTGACAATGTTTTCTTCAGAGAGAATTGCACTTTCCTTCTAATATCAAGTAAGATCTTCAGGGGACCAGGGTGTCTCAGCTGGTTAAGTTTCTGACTTTGGCTCAGGTCATGATCTCAAAGTACATGGATTTGAACTCCTCGTCGGGCTCTCTGCAGTCAGCACAAAGCCCGGCTTCGGCCCTCTACCCCTCCCCTTCTCAAAAATTAAAATAAATAAGATAAAATATGATATCCAAATAAAGGATTTAATAGAAAGAATGGCAAGACACTTTGAAGACTTCCGTCTCAAAACTTGTAGTTGAAGTCAGAAATTTACCATGAGGGAGATAAGTGGAGTGCTAGAGGTTTGATGTTGGCTTTTATCTTAGCGATTTCATTTTTAGCTTCAGTGCAGCACAATTGACATGTGGATGCCACACATTGCCTATGTCCACGTGAAGGGGCTCTGACAGTGATCTGTCCTGATGTGCCAGTGGTGGACATGATTCCCTGCTACAACAACTTTTCTTACATACGCATTACACTTTCCTGTCTTGAAACCATTCTGGGAGTCTTTCTAAATGTGTTTCCTTCCAAATCCGCTCATGGCGGTGGAGGCAGGGTAGAGCCCGATGCTGCTCTTCCACTTGGCCCTGCACCACAGGGCAACATGTCCTGCACTACAGAACGTTGGAATGGTTTGACAGCTAGTAAGCTGTAAGACTGTTCTATCCATGTGTCAAGATAGCAAAGTGGCTTGCAATGGTTTCTTCCCATCCGTGGTATCAGAGAGGACACTAGCGCTTACATGACACGGACAGGTGCCCTGAAAACAGTGCCATGTAACTTCCATGTTTATGCTGGAAAAATTCCATGAGCCCCTACTGGGCCACGTGTTTCACCAGCTTTAGGAAGCCTACATGCGCTGAAAAAGCCTAGGCCAGCGGGAGGTCTCCTGGAGGTCCTACAGCCAAAAGGAGTTTTAAGAACAAACATGAGAAGGAGTCCCATGCAGAGGATTCCGGCTCGGTGCCAGCGGGTTTTCCTTGCAGCGGCCCCAACGTCATAGAGCAGAAAAGATGCATCCCCACGTTCCCTGTCCAAATTCCTCAATCTATGCCCATGAGCAAAGTCAAGTGAGTGTCTCCTGCCAGCAACTGAAAGGGGATGGTTTTGTGAAAACATTTTGGTTGTCAGCACCACAAGAATAACATACATCTACAAAATCTAATGCCATCATAGAATCGACATTAACATCAGAGTTTTCATCCTGTCCCATTCTCTTGCCCCCTCACTAGGTCCTGCCTCCAGTAGTCACAAGTGCTCACATTTCTCGTCGTCATTTGGGATGTCTTACTTCAGGAAGCATGTACCACTGACACCACAACAAGCATTTTCAGGGGGTTGTACCTAGATTGACTGACTTACTCTTCATTTTTGACTTCATGATGACTCCAGTTATTAGATACAGAAAACTCTCTCCTCACGTGAAAGCATTCTCTATGCAGAGCAATGTAATATTAGCAGGCCTTTGCCTACCAATGGACCTACAATGAAATAATCCTTGGAGAAAATAGAGCACCATGTGTATTATGTCAGTTTTCTACCTCATTCATAACCCATTAGATTGTTTCCTTCTAGATACTCAGAAGAGTCTACATCGAGAGAGTTCTGTCAAATGTATTCTATTCCTTGAAGGTTACCTACTGCATTTTAAATAGGCTATACTCTCCATTGATGTGATAATATTCATTTGTTCCCTGTTTTGTGTGGCTGCTCACCTCCACACCTGAGGTGAGCTTTCATGGCCATTTGGTGAGGATGGTGGTAATTACTGGATGGGTGAATGAAGAGTCAGAACACATATTTAATTCTATAGTTTCGTTTATTTTTTTTTCTGACATCATTCATGTAGCAAATGGCAACCGGGTGGCTCGATCTTTTGAATGTCCAAATCTTGATTTCACTCAGATCATTTTCCCAGGGCCCGTGGACTGTGCCTCACATCGACCTCCGTGCTAGCATGGAGCATGCTCCCTATCTCTGTCTCTAACTCACACCCTCTCCCCATCTTAAGCACTCTAAATAAATTAATAAATGAGTACACACTGAATAATGAAATTAATAAACACGTTAAGAAATACACGAAGACAAAAGAAGCACTGATTATATTTTTACTGAACACTTGCCTGAGAATATATTCCTTCTAACTTTATTAATTGCTCCATGAATATGTGTCACACCAGTGATGATATTCAAGGAATTCAGAAGAGTTCACTCTTGTACAGATTGTGCATACAGTGTAAAGACATGTAATATAGGACAATGATAAGATATGACTTATATGTAAGTTATGTGCTGAGAGAGGACTATAACTTTTTAAAATTGCATTCCTGTTGACACGCATTTTCTCTCTAGAATAAACGTGAAAATTTTTGTTTAAATGTGTCCTTTTTTATATTTTTTTATTTTTATTTTTTACAAAGAGTTCATTGTCAAGTTGGTTTCCATATAACACCCAGTGCTCATGTCTACAAGTGCCCTCCCCTAAACACGTCTCCCCCACACACACCCATCAATCCTCAGTTTGTTCTCAGTATTCAAGAGTCTTTCATGGTTTGCCTCTCTCCCTCTCCCTCACTATTCCCCCCCTTCTTCTCCCCCAGAAGGAACTTAACGGAGGACCAAGGGGTAAATGTGTCCTTTTTTATGAAGAATAGCAGAAATGGGATATGCTGGGATTTCTACTCAAGAAAAGAATCTCTTTTTATTCTTCACATGTTCCATTTATTTGTCTCCAAACTGAAATTTTCACTGTTAACTCCATTAGAGGCAGGACATTTTCTTTCTGTTATCCCTTGTTCTCACACACAAAGAAGAATATGGTGTAGGACTAGGAATCAAGTTTTGAACTAAAACATACTGTTTTAAATGGCACACTTTCCCGTGAGGACACACACTAGGCCAGACAGGAGCAGGATGGGCCCACAGAACGTAGAGGTGCCTTGCCTCTCAGAGTTGTCTCAAGACCCATCGCCATGGTGATTTCATGATGCACCTTGGGTTCCGTCCCAACTGTCACTGTGTGAGTGAGCTGAGGTGTTGCAGTTTGGTCACTGGCAAGAAGTTTCCCACGATGGGAAACCTGAATTGTTGTTCTTTGGGTATGTTCCTCTTGGTTTTCTGAATTCTGTTCATTCAAATATGCTTTTGTTTACTGACTTTTTGATTTCCTCTCCACCTAATTTGTACACCGAGTCCTAGGAATGTAGTATCTTGGATTGATCTAATACTTAATTTGTACTTTTGAGTTTTCATTGGAGATGGCTTTCTTAAAGATCTTTATGATACAGAATTCTGTGCTATTTTTGAATGCCCATAATGTACACAGTCTTACTGAGAACACACTGCGAACACACCCACATATCCTTATTGGATATTGGTCAACCCTGACCATCACGTGTGGTGACTGTGCTTTACTACATTTCTATCGATGTCTCTGCTAAATAACACTACTTGCCCACACACAACACCTGGCTGTGGGCGGTGATGAGTGCCAAGGAAAGCTCAACATCTTCCTAAGTCCATTCTTGGGGCATGAAATTTGTCGGGCAGCTGGTGAGTAGTGAGATTGGAAGGTTGAGCTATGAGTAGTGTATGATGAGAGGTTTTATAGTCTTCTGCCAGCAAGAGGCCAACTTTACTTTCTATTTCCCTTCATTTCCCAGAAAATTGCTGTGTCTAAGACGCAGAAGATGGGCCACCCGTGACAACAACCTCTACAAAGAAAAGAGTCCGCATCTCTTTCCAGCCTCAGGGTGTACCCTGTTCCCGAAACAGAGGAAGATACCGTGGAAATTCACTCAATAAGCTGATTAAGAATAACTTTTCCATTCATTGTTCTATACTACCAGAACAGCATAAAACGTTGAGGCCCTTTTTTCGGTAATTTCATATCCATAAATTGAAATTCATTAAGTCAATCATACCACAATTACTGTAGAACTTAAGAAGCATTTCTGTATCAACACAGGATCCATATTGATTAGATTACAAGTGTCTATTGCCTGAATGTATGCCCATTAGCTAACTTCTGAACAGAGATCAATATCGATCTCCCCGTAATACAGTGGTTCCAGATTTTTAGATATTAGTAGACATGCTGGAAAACAGGTTTCGCTTAAGATAATATTTGAACAGATAATTCAGCAAGTTCCAGTATACCCCCACTCCCCTTACCCCCATTTAAATCATCTTACATGGGGGTGTTAAATATGTCACCATTTAGTGAAAGAACATCGATACTTCTTATGAAGTCAAGGCCACAGTTTCCGTTGAAAGGCATTTTATGCACTTTAGGATTTTATGTGATTGACCAATGCAGAATTTCAAGTATCCCCATGACAGAAAGAGACAGAAATTGTACACCCACTGTTCATAACAGCAGTCTTCACAGTAGGTCTAGAGAAACCACCCGAAAGTCCATGAAGGGATGAAAGGATGAATAAAATGCGATCCATGCACACAAAGGACAACTATTGAGACATTCGAGGCTGCTTTTCGTCAAGCACAAATTCCAAAGTAGACATGATGGACACAGAATCCTAGCAAATCCATGGTGGGGACCCTATGGAAAGAACAGATTTTCCAAGATACAGACAGTGATAGCCTGGCTGAACTTCAAGCAATCAGGAGAGGTTACGAGACCCAATCTTGACACACAAGGCACTCCAGGGTTTCCACGAGTTGTAGTGACTCTCTTGACTTCATGAGGATCATGTTTGCAAAAAAACAAAAAACCCTCTTACCTATATCATTCCTGCTCCTCTGTTGTGCCATCCATTGATCCCCAAGAGGATGCCCAGCAGCAGCACAGTCCGTCATTACTCTTCACCCATATGCACATGCTCACCTCATGTTCACATCAATAGAAACTCTGACTAGTTCCCGAGCTGCCCCACCAGTGATATTCATTCACCACCTATCTCCATAGTTTTGTGTCCATGACTCCTGTTGAGCAAAGCAAAGCTCCTGGAATAATTCCTGAGCTGTCCCACTGGTAACCTGAAACTATCTGTGTATCTGCTTAGATACCGCCTCGGAGTTCACGGAAGTTGTTCGTTTTATGCTGGAGACGGAGACACGACATCGACCACAAAGGTATGCTTGCCTTTCTTTCTGTAATGAAGATTGCTGTATTTCACTTTAAATAGAATTAAGGTATAAAGCTTATGTGCACGCCTGCTGGTCTATACAACTTCCTTAATATGAGCATATCCACAGACTGGGACTAATGGATACCAGATTGCACATGTGTTTTACAAAGAGCAAGATCAGTTAGCATCTGCAGGATACTGAGCAGTTCATGAGCAGACAATTTTTGTCCTTGCATATCGTTTTTCCAAAGCAACTTGGGTTATTCATGGGTGGCCCAGTCGATTAAGCATCCAGCTTTGGCTCAAGTCATGATCTCATGGTGCATGAGGTAGAGCTCTGCATAGGGTTCTGTGCTGACAGGTGAGAGCCTAGAGCCTGCTTCGGATTCTTTGTCTCCCTCTCTCTCTCTCTCTCACCTCCCCTGACTGTACCCTATGTGTGTGTCTCTTTCTTTTTTTTTTTTTTTTTTTTTAAATAGTTTATTGTCAAATTAGTTTCCACATAACACCCAGTGCTCATCCCCACAAGTGCCCTCCTCCATGCCCATCCCCCCCTCCCCCCCACATCCATCAGTCCTCAGTTTTTGTCAGCATTCAAGAGTCTCTCATGGTTTGCCTCTCTCCCTTTCCCCCACCATTTCCCCCCTTCTTCTCCCGATTGGTCCTCTGTTAAGTTCCTCCTAGTCCTCCTATACGTGCACACATATGATATTTGTCCTTCTCTGCCTGACTTATTTCGCTCAGCATAACACCCTCAAGGTCCATCCATGTAGCTTTCTAAAATATAAATAATCGTTAAACTATTTGCTTGTTTTCTATGTTTTTTTTTTTTTTTATATCTGAGAGTGAGAGAGAGAGAGAAACAGTATGAGCAGGAAAGGGTCAGAGAGAGAGGGAGACACAGAATCCTAAACTGGCTCCAGGCTCTGAGCTAGCGGTCAGCTCAGAGCCCAACACGGGGCTCGAACACATGACCGTGAGATCATGACCTGAGCTGAGTCTGACGTTTAACTGACTGAGCCACCCAGCTGTCCCAAATGTTAAACAATTTAAAAGGGACTTGGGATGTACCCTCTGTAGGAAAATTTGATGCTTTCGTCTAGGACTTGGTTGGCCCTGCTCTTGCTTTGGGGTTTGTTGGCCTCTATCGGTCTTTCCCATCTAATTAGAACCTGTCACCAAGATGACAAAAGAGCTGTGCCAACAAAACACAGCATCATCTGATCCTCATAGTGTTTCTTTTCTGACATTGCAGAATTGAGTAAAGCACCCTCCTGGAACGTGAAAGCGGTATGTATTCTGGAGTCGCTCTGTTAGTAAGGAGAAATCTGGAAGATGAGAAAGGCGGGACTTTCTTGCAGGCTTACTGTGCAGAGCCACCCTGATTCCAGCTGCTGCGGGTCTGAGAATAAGGACATTGCATTCCAAAGGGGTTCTCCAGGAAAAGACCTATGATCACATGGTAGCGCCCCAGAAGCAGCAGTACTGCCATCAGGTGGTGTAGGTGTGTGTTCAGGGAGGTATGTGTGTCTACATGTGAATCCATGTGATGTAGCTCTCAGTGCTCATGTGTGTGTGTGCGCACACCCACGCGTGTGTTTGGTGTGCGGTGTGTTTCCCTGGATGTATATAGACTTCCGTAAGCATTACTCTTAATGGTGTCACACTATCAATACAAAATCCCATCACCATTACATCATGAGGGTTTATGCATATTAAAGTAAATCAAATAGTACAATGTAAATGTGTTCATTATATGCCCAACACATGTGCATATACCAGGAAAACAAATCTCACATAGTACAGTATCTGTCACAGAGGCAGTGACAACAGGACCTCACGTCCTGGTAGATCTCGTGGCACAATTGGTCATGGTATGTCACTCTTGCCACTTTTCTCACACACAGCCCTCTTCATCTGAGGCTGTGCAATGAGTCTTCCCAACGTCACTCTAGTCACAGAAGCTCGGGCAGAGCTGCTTCTGCAGGAGGCTTCGTGTGGAGCCACGTGCCAATCCCGATCTGGTGGGAATTGGCGAAATCAGGAACTTCTAGGACTAGGCAGGGAGACTAACTCCTTCTTTCTCCATCTTCTTAGAATGGGATCTGACATTTCTCTGTAGGTACTGCTGCTGAGAATCAACCTGTCATTTTCAGATGGAAAATATAGCACCTTCCACTAACCCTCGCTGCAGTTCTGTGTGCTGGGCAAAAAGTGTAATTCAAAGAGGCCCTCAAGGTCTTTATCAAAGACTGAGCGTCAGTGTGAACACTTGGCTCTCTTCCAAGGAGCATCATAGGTGATGTCATGTACTGCAAGGTGTGGAATTAGTATCTCAACGGTGTGAAGGGAGAATCCCCACTCACATTCCTGTCCATCTGCCAGTACAAAGAGGGGCTGAATGAAGCGTGAAGGCTTTTGCAGGCAAACCACTGGTGGTAGTTCTCTTAAGACAATATGAACATTAACAGAGCCAAATTATTATTTTTTTTTACAAATAGTTTATTGTCAAATTAGTTTCCACATAACACTCAGTGCTCATCCCCACAAGTGTCCTCCTCCATGCCCATCCCCTCCTCCCCCCCACATCCATCAGTCCTCAGTTTTTGTCAGCATTCAAGAATCTCTCGTGGTTTGCCTCTCTCCCTTTCCCCCACCATTTCCCCCCTTCTTCTCCCCCTTGTTCCTCCGTCAAGTTCCTCCTAATCCTCCTATACCTGCAAATATATGGTACTTGTCCTTCTCTGCCTGACTTATTTCGCCAGCATAACACCCTCAAGGTCCATCCATGTTGCTACACATGGCCAGATTTCATTGTTTCTCATTGCCATGGAGTAT